ATTTACATAAAAATAATTGTGTTAAGGTACAAAAATGTTCTTTAACATTATTATATAGGAAGTTCCACCCTATATAGCCAAATTTGTAAATTACTGTGGCAAACTCTGTATATGATATAAAAAGTTAATTATGGAATATTCAGTTAATATTTATTTAGTTCGTAAGGAGATTATAAGTATCTGTGTAATAAAATTTGAAACGATAATTATTAGTAATTTGATAAGCTGATCGTAATTTAAAAGATAAATTTTTAAAATGAACTTTGACATCTTTTTTTAGTTCGTCTGAATGACTAAATATTCCATGGCTTAATTTAGAATTAGTTGTATAAATAATTTCGAGTAATATAATTCTATTAATTGTCTAATAATTTATACTATAAGAGAAATGATCTCTAGCTATTTTCTCAGGAAATTAGTTAATATAATTAAAACTTACAATATATAGTTATACAATATAATAGTTAATATACTCTTATCACTCTTATTATGGTAAGGGTATAAGAGAGAGTTTAGTTCATATTATGACCAAAACATGTTTAGAGATGAAATTCTTTTTTTAAAAAAACTAATATATTTGTAACGCTTACTTTTTCAAACTTCGAAATAAACTGTAGATTAAGTAATTGTCAACTTAAATGTTTATGTCAGTTCTACCACACTGTCATTTAATAAATAGTTCACCCTAAATAACTTAAATATGATAATTTGATGTTTAAATGCCATTACTCGTTTAAACAACAATATTCAATTTCTAACTGTATAACTTCAATGGTCGTTACATGCTAACAGGCTTTGATGGCGTGTGGGTTAATATAAGTATCAACTTATGAATAAAAAGAATAACGATACCGAAATATTACCTTAACTTGAAATAATATACAAAAGAGAGTGAAGGGCTTGTTATTTGTAAAAAGAATAAAATATGACTAACTAGCCTTACTGATCATCGTCCATAACACTTATGTTTACTAAAACGTTTGCGCGCTATTCGCAGGTAGGTGCTATCACGGTTGTTCTCACAGGTGGCCGTTTTGACCCTTTCGCCTCTCTTCTCTTTACTTCATACTCTTCCATTTTCCATTTTCCATTGCAACTAGTATAGTATACGGTACACGCTAAAGCTCAGTTCCTGGTCGATATATATTATTCCTATACGGTGCAAATTCCCCAGGGGTTCGTATGATCCTTAGTGTGAAGAGAGTGCGATTGAGAGAGAAAGGACATCCTGTTTTCTTGGTGTAGCACTATTATCATCATAGAAAGCTTATATCGTTGTGTATTTGTTTTGCAAGTGCAAGAGTTCACTCTTTCGGTGTCCTCACCCTAGTTGTGATCATGTATTATGTATGTATTTGGCTCGTGAGCCTGAAGGAGTAAAGGAGAATAGAGGCGAAATGGTTTAGTGTTAACATATCTTAATGGGTTAGGCGTTAGTGCTGCAATAAAGGAATATTGTCGATAAAATCATAATAGTAACACGGTCGGAATAAACAAACTGATAAAAAGAAATCTAATGGTTTTATCGTGTAGTTTAATATTCTATCTATTTTTTCACATTTAATGAAAAATAGAAATAAAATATCAAAGAGCATTTTTTATTAAATTCTACGAGAGTAAACTGTTCACAGGACTTAAATTTTCTAGTCCAATTATCAAAGTAGTAAAATTTGGGCTGACTAGATCTAAAATAAAATATATTTTATTTAGCTATATTTTAGGTACACAAAGTTATTACTACAATAATGATTTTCTTGTGACTTTTTTAGTTATAGGCGTAATTCCGGTGATGGGCTTAGGGTGCTTTGGTGTCCTAAAATTAGCTGTAGCTTCCCTTCCATTCAAAAAAATCATGATGGTAGAAAAATCGATTTAGCCCAATAATTTTAATTGACGTCTATATTATTAGTTATAATCACAACACATGTATTCTAAGACTTCTTCTTTTTCCTCCCCTTTATCCCAACTATTTAGGGTCGACCACCTCAAGTATTTATGTAGATATATATACCTATACATCAAAAGAATCCGAATTAGTTTTATTAATCTAGTTAAAGACTCAAAATATCTCAACAAATTATCATTAAAAACAGCCATTTAATTATTTTGTTCACAATATAAAATTAAAATACTTTTTAAAAATTCATAGAAACCAAATTTTTATCATATATATTAGGGATAATAATACATTTTAGCTTCAATGCTAAGCTGAGAAGGTATTAATTTTACTATAATGTATTTTTTATTTTTATATCATAATAATTCATTTATTTGTAACTCTTAGTGTTTAATTAATTAGATGCTATATTTGAAATATTCAGAACTATATTCCGTATAGTTATATCCTATATTTTTTTAACTAATTAGTAATAATATCAAATGTTAGTGGTGATAAAAAAAATCTAATTGCAGATTTAACATTAGCACAAAAAAATGCTCAAAAAAAGTAGATTTTTACTCTGATGAGAATTCCTTGTAGTCCATTTATTAATAATTAACAACAAATTATCAGCTAAAAAGTTTTGCATCAAGTCCTACAATTTTTATACATGTTTGCATAAAAGTAAGAACTACCTTATAATTTTTTATAATTTCTCCGAAAAATTTATGTTACTGAATTATTAAATATCAATCTCATACTAATTTAATTGCTGTAATAAATATTTGTTCATATATTATACTTCTAAATCAAAGAACCACTAATCAGGAATAATTAAGAAAATAGGAATTCATTTTGCTTTTGGTATGAACCACCAATTTCTTAAAACTAAACACTATCTACAAATTTTCATTGAAGCGTTTCTTATGTAAGTGATTGTAAACACTCTCAGATATCGTCTATACTTGTCACAACTATGCGACGTTCACACTGTGCTACCATTTTTTAATTTACACTTATTTAAATTTATAACGTCCCTAAGCAGAAAGTTAAAAAAAATAACATAAATAAGCAATAGCTTTTAGATAAAAAGTTAAACATGATTAAAAAATTACAACAATAAAATAAACTAAGTAAATTACAATAAATAATTGATAACTTTTCAACATTATTTTTAAGATATTAGCACTTTTAACTATGACGAAAGAAGTAGTGCGGTCCATAAATGACTAGAGATAAAAATAAACAAATACACATTTCACTCTAGTTATTATTTTTGAAGATAATGCGTTAGACATACTGAGCTAATCATCCTATAAATCAATATATTAAATTTTATAAAAATACTAGACAAATAAAAATATAATTTTAAATGCTTTCAGCGTTTTATTTATTGGGAATTGGAATTTTCTTTTTGGTAATTTTTGGTAATCAAAAACAGTTTTTTAAAAGAAATTATCCAATTATCTAACCATTTTAGCTGATGACGTTTTACAAATTTTCCGTCGAATAAAGTAATTCACTTAAACTTTTTAGAATTAAATAACATAGCGCACAAAAAACCTTTTTGATGTTTATTTAACGCAGTCAAACAAATGTAAATATTTCAAAAAAAGATTTGTGGATTAACCTAAGTTTAGTTTCACATGAATTTTTCCTTTACAGTTTTCAACTTTGTTCAATTAACTTTTTTGTTAAAATAAATCCTCCTCAATCTTGAATATATATATATCGCAAATAAATGAATTAAAATTAAGTAAAAAGTAATATTATAGTGCTATTGATACAATTTCAAAGTTTTAAAGTATATTCAAATAAATAAGTAAATAAAAATAAAATAATGTATTTATAGTTAATGACCAGATCAATGATTAGTCAAATGATAGTCAAGTGGAAGTTTAAGATAAGGATAGCCGATCCCAAGTAGTTGGGATTAAGGCGAATAAAAAGAAGAAGAATTAATAGTTAATGATCGCAATAAAAATGTCAATAAGAAACTTACATTATTTAAACAGAAACAGATTTCATGTGACAAGGGTTAGTTTTAAATATAAAACGAAAACCAAGAATGATACCCGTGTTACATAAACACGGATAGTATACCACCAAGTGTTAACTTTTCTGGTTGTAAATCTGGGAAATAGAATTATAACACGAACATTTTAAATTATCATCAATGAAATAATTTTTTAGCGTTAATATTTTAATAAAAAGAACCTTAAGTAATAAAACCAGAGATATTTTAATATTTCTTAAAATAAATACCTATGTATATCCATGATATTTAGATTAAACAAAAAAATCACAAACTAGTTAGTAAGATTTTACAGTCAATTTAAACCTTACGTAAGTAGATCTAAACAATACAGCTGTTGCGTTATACAGTTACATATAACGAGGGTTTACAAATCATTGTAATATATAACTTTTAAAATTGACACATTAACAATTTAAAAATAACCGCATATACATATTTACTCTCGGCACAAAAGATATCAACCAAACTGTGCGTGTGCTGACCAAAGTAATAAGTTAATCTTTTCACGAATGTATTAATAAATAAATAATTATTAGACAATTAATATTTTATATTAGTATTATATTCTTTATTTTCAGTTTTACACGCATATTTTTGAAAAATGTAGTAACTTTTTTAAATGTATTTATACATATAAATAGAAATAATATCGTAATACAGCATTTTTTATTTATTTTGAATCATATTTATATACTCATAAATATATCTCACATTTTGTCTTTTCTATAGTGTATTTATTTTCTGTTATAATCATAAAAATACACCCCGTAAAGATTATTTTTATGATGGCTGTCGCCCTTTTATATCCCAAATGTATTTTAAATTCACCAACAACGTAGCCAGTGATAAAGTCTCATCCCTTACTCCATGTTACCTTGCTGAAAGATTACACAGTTTTTATGACAAGGACCTGCTGAAACTTTTTTACCGCTTTCATATTTTATTTTTACAAGAATAAAAAACTACAATAAGTGTACCAGCTACAACCTCATATTATATGAATAGTAAACACACAATCCATACATGTTCTTATCATTACAGTAATAATCAGAAAATAAATACTTTAAAAGCTAAAAACAAACTTTACTCACTTGGGATTCTGTTGATAGCTCTGAGCGGTCTCAGCACCCTTATTGTGCGAATAGCAGAGAAATTTATGTTCTCCATGTTTAAACAGTACTCTAAAGCCCTACAAAAAAACATAGATTTATGATTTACAATAGAACAATAATAATAACAATTTTAACTAAAATACGAGGAATTCCGTAACAACCGTTACAACATTAACATCAATATTATATTATATATCATTATGTTAACCCTATTCACAGATGTGCGACCTGGCTTGACGCGAACATACAAAACGCTTTGTATGTTTTACAATATTATACTATTCCATTAATCATTCATGAACAAAGAAATAAAAATGTTATTTTAAGTATAACTTTTTTATACATACCCTGCTATAACGATGAAAAAATCTAACCTATTCCAAGAGTCAGCAAGGTATGTACTCGGACCATAAGCTCCCATGGCTATCATTTTAACAATCATTTCCAGTGAAAAAAATGCAAATATAAAGTCATCAAAAACCTATAAAACAAAAAATGGATATCAATATTAATTAAGTACATTAATACATATAAATTGATCATTTATATCACTTGAGTTATAGTTAATACAATACCTGTAATATTCTGCATCTTCTTGACATGCACTGATCATCTACACATGGTTGATACATTCCTAATGTGATACAATTTAGAAGTATCACCAACATACTGGCTCTTTCAAACCATGTAATTATTTAGTAAGTTAAGGTAAATTATTCACCATTTTAATAAAAAGTGAAACTAATATAAAATAAATATATATAATATAATATAAATTTATACTTTTAAAGAAATAAATAGATACTAACTAAATAAATAGCTATTAAATTGACATACTGCTGGTGTTATAATTTTTTTTTAAAGTATGCAAAAAATTGTTAATTTAAAACTCATTATTATGTCAAATACACATCAGAATACGCCCTCAATAACTCCAGAGTATGTCTCTAAATCTAGTTTATTAACATCTTAATTTTAAGTAAGTGAAATTTGTTCACTCTCGTTAATATTTATTCATAAATTTTAGCTTATATAACTAATGTTAAATTAATAACGTTCCGAAATTGTCAATGTAGATAAATACTCTCTCCATTCAAAAAAACAATGTTATATGGTCAAAAAATAAATTAAGTGTAAATATTTTATACCAAACTAATCTATTATTAAAAAAAACGCAGCACAGGGAGGTCGCAGCACAGTGGTGCNAAACCCAGCACAGGGGGGTCGCGGCACAGTTGTGACGTGGTATAGTTGGATCAAGTATAATGATATCTGACAGTGATTAAAATCACTATCAAAAATAAACGCTTCGATGCAAATCTTTAGATAGTGTTTAATTTTAAAAAAATTGGTGTTTTATTCCAAAAGCTTCATGATCTGCTGGTTCCTTATTAATATCTCGATTAAGACAAAGTATGTCAAATGNTAAGTGTCAGATTTACAAAAAAAATATACCAAATGATAAGTAAAGACATCAATCATCTATATAAAAAAGAATTATATTGATATGTTCATTTTTGAAAAAGTTAGAGCATTATTAAGTTAAAAATATAAAAAAAAATTATTTTACAAAAATCGTAATTTTTTATTAACTTTGATGTCAACTTTCACCACGAAGACAAGTCTAGAGGTAAATTTTTTTTTTTCAAATTAAAGTATATTACATAAGCTTTAATTTAAGATATATAGAAAAGTGTCAGACCTTCTGGAACACTTTCAAAAGTTGAGTTGAAAAAGTTCTACTTTTTATATGCATTTTTTATATTTTAAGCCCCCCCATATATAGGGAAATGGTCTGATTTAAAAAAAAAGTATATCGAATGAAAAAGAGTTTATTAAAAAATATTATTTCTCATAAAAAAATTGTGTGGATCCATACACTTTTCAATAAGTTATAGCATTATAAAGTTAAATATAATATAAAAAATAAAATCCCATTTACGGGGAACGAGGGAATTTTTTTCAATTGTTAAGGGTAATGTCTTCGACTAGATACGATTTGTGATCTTTTGACGTATCATTGAAAGAAATCGGTTCGGTGAGA